CATTGACTTTCTTCTTCATGCTTTGTTATATTTGTGGTCTTCACCTCACCTTTCCTCTCCTCCTTTCATCCCACTCTTAGTTTTTTCTTTCTTTTCATTTTCTTCTCTTGAGACCTGTCTGAATGAATCTTTCAGATGTCAGCCTTGCAGAGCTCAGACACCAATGTCTATAAAGTAAAAACTTTAAGAATGAAAGAAGGAAGGAAAAAAGACATCAAACCTGAAATCAAGCATATTTAATTATAGAAATTATAGTGACCCAATCCATTTTATTTTTCCTCATCTCCCAAGTATCCGGCAAGGCGATTGTTTCCCTTTTGTTATCTGTCACAACGTGATATTTTTTTGTTTGTTAGTTTTATACCTGCCATTGTTTTTTGTGCATAAGGGATTTTGCTCAATAGGGAACAATGGAGCAGGCCTTAGTTTTCTATTGAGCGAGACTCAGATCGTTTGTCCTCCCCTCTGTGCTGGGATTGTATTGCATTGCATGTGCTTGTGCTTGTGGATGGGTGTGAACGTGTGGTGATGTCAGCATATCTGTCACCATGCCAGAATTTGGGGTCACAAAGCCGAAACAGAGGGAGGGGGCTGAGAGATGAGAAAGAGAGCAGGAGAGGATCATTTTGGACTGTTTCGAACGTGGACACTTAAGTCACAAAATATTATACAAAATGGAGTAACTTGTTGCTAATTGTATGTGAAGGATTACGTCTGATACTGACCCAGTTTCATAAGAATAGGGAGTAGGTAAGAAGGCAAAATTTAAGATCTCATGTTGAAGATTGTTTTTCCATTTGGTCATTTTCAGACTGCACACAAAAATGTGACTGTGCTTTTTCCATGAATGACTCTTTTTGACATTCTGCGAATCAATTTCTTTCTTGTAATGATGTTTTTTTTTTTGGCCATTCAGTAATATATTTTTGTTAATTTTCCCTTTAAAATACTCATTGCACATACACTTTCTTAGCAAGGAAAGACATTTCTTGAGTATAGTGGTGATAAAACTATTAAGAGTGGACTTGCTATAGAGAGCACTGGGACTTTTCCCAGTGGGCTGCTTGAAGAGAAGAATTTCCAACATCCTCAGACCGACCCATTTACAATGCAACGATGGATCCTGTGCTGCTTGTGTGGTTTACTATTACTGAATGCCTCTGCTGTCTTCATCTCTCTTTTCTTTTTAACCATACTATAGTCTAGCAGATGAGGTCTCTTGTTTGTCCATTGACTTTCTTCTTCATGCTTTGTTATATTTGTGGTCTTCACCTCACCTTTCCTCTCCTCCTTTCATCCCACTCTTAGTTTTTTCTTTCTTTTCATTTTCTTCTCTTGAGACCTGTCTGAATGAATCTTTCAGATGTCAGCCTTGCAGAGCTCAGACACCAATGTCTATAAAGTAAAAACTTTAAGAATGAAAGAAGGAAGGAAAAAAGACATCAAACCTGAAATCAAGCATATTTAATTATAGAAATTATAGTGACCCAATCCATTTTATTTATGTTTTTATTAATTTATTAATTAATTTATTCATTCTTTCTTTTGTTTTTTATTTATTTATTCTCAGATTATGTCATCACCTACAACTCAGCCTCTTTTTTTGAGCAAGTTTGCAGCTCTTTGTGGAACAACAGGTGTTATCAAGTGCTCTGTGATGTTTCTCTTCTGTTTTGTCTTATGTCGGGTCTTCGGTTCACTGTTTGATGTTCAGCAGATGTTTGTTTTTATCTGCTGCAGGTTCAACAGCCTCTTCTGTCTCTGCTGCACTAGAATAGAAACAGCACTGATGGCAGCAGCAGTAGTTTGTAGTGCTAAACTAGTTTGCTTAAGCCTATGCCGTTAATCACTACTACTGTACTGTTTTGTTTACATTTTAAATTCGTCTCATAATGTGACAATTCTGAATGAAACGGGATATTAACCCTTTTTCAGTTAGTAAAAGTTATGATGGGTTTTTTTTATGGGCGGAGCTTAGGTGGAGGCAGAAAGATTGCCCTGACTACTTCACCAACTCTAGCTAGCAGGTTTTGTTTGCTTGTTTTTTAACAATGACTGGAGAAAATTTGATTTTATTTGAGTATGTAATGTCACTCGCTGTCCGGGACTGCGATTGTTATTTGAAAATGCTAACTTTAATGGAAGGAACCAGATTGGTCGACTCGTACATACTCACTCAATGGATGGACGATCTGACAGGAGGGGCCTGACACACCTACCAGATAAAGTAAATAGAAACTGAGGGCATATAAATCTTTAGATGCATGTAACTATGTACTAACAGTGGCAATTGTAAGCAAATGCAACTACTTGAACACACACCTGACTAGAGCCCGACCGATATATTGTTTAGCCGATAATATCGGCCGATAGGAGCCTGTCGTCGATATATCGGTATCGGCGAATATGCCGCCAATATGAACTTTTTTTTTTACAGAACATATAACGCAGATAAAATGCTTGAAATGGTGTAATTACTTAGTTTATACAGCAGAGCGCACTCCATTGTTTGCTACTGGCGAGCTGGATGAAGCACTTTAAAGCTTAAGTCTATGGAAAACCGTTGAAACTTTGAACGACCATATCTCCGTAACAGCATGGCGGATCCGCACCAAATTCGGGGGATCCCTTCAGCTCAAGGAACCCTCTCGAACGCGAATCGAGTGTACGTCTCGAGGCCCTCTTTCGAATGAGACCACCCCCACGTCGATAGCCCTCGGGGTCCGGGAGTTACGGGCGGTTAAATTCGCGGTCCGGCGCCGACCAATCAAGCGATTCTGGGGGGCTACCGACGCGCGGAGGGTGGCGTTCGAGAGGGCTCTTCGAGCTGAAGGGATCCCCCGAATTTGGTGGAGATCCGGCGGAACGTTCGCGAGATAGTGACACCAGCCAAACACTTTAACTTCAGTAAGGAGGTCTCTTGTTCAGGCAGCAGCATTCAAGCGTTGTACTTCACATGATAATCCGCCATGATTTCAGTTCCAAGGGAACGTACACGTTACATTCAAAGGGCATTAAAGTGCAGGAGATGTGAATTTATATTTATTTACAGAGGTAAATTATGTCACACTTCACACTTAACAGTAAATTTCGTCTGTGTGTGAAGACAGTAGTGCAAATCCGTGAATGAATGTTCCAAAGTGAAATAAACTTCAACGGAATAAAGTTGAATGGAATTGAATTAAAGTTGAATAAACTTCAACTGTTTCAGTGCACTGATGTCAGACTCATTTTGAATAAAGTTTATTGTTAAATTGTTAAATGCCCTGCCTCCATCATTGCATATCTTTGTCACGTCATTATAAGTGTTTGATCACCACATTTGAGTGATCATTGCAAAAAATGTGTTTATGTATATACTGTATTCTATATATAGTACCAGTCAAATGTTTGGACACACGAATGGGAAAGTGTCCAAACTTTTGACTAGTACTGTACTATAATATACACAAAGAATATTGTGTCGTTTTTTTTACTCCCAAATATCGGTATCGGCCCCAAAAAACCCATATCGGTCGGGCTCTACACCTGACACATAAGATGGGTCTTCACTGTTCCCACTCTCTACAATTGCACTTATGGCAATTGTAGAAAGTGAGATGACACAAACGGTTTCCTTTATGTTTAGTCTCTGGTCGTTAGTTAACTTGTTCTCCAATTTCTTATTAGGTGAGCATGCATGAGAAATCTTTAGATTCGTAACCAAACCATAGTCCATAAAAGACAGCAGTTTATTTAACCTTACCTGATATTGTGCACTGCAAACGCGAACATTTTTGATGAATTTTTCTGTCCAGTCCGCTCGTTTTATTACATTTAACCACAGCTGTCGTTGTTTTTTTGTCTGGCAATGGCAGCGGGTATGTGATAAAATTTCAAATTGGAGCGTCTACTCCATCGATTCTGACACTCAAAGATGACATTTTAAGCTCCAGCTGACTCTGGTTTGTATTGGCCGCCTCCAGTTATTCCTTTGTTTTGCCTCCAGCTAATGATGTGACGTAATTGTAACGTCGGCACTATTCAGGGTCTATTCAGTGAAAAAGGCGGTCGTTCTTTGTTTTTTGTCTTTGTAGGGAGGTCTTTGTTTTTTATCATATGACAGGTGACTGGATGCAATGGGTTGAAATTCCAAATGACTCTAAAGTTATCCAGTATGCCAGGCTGCCTTGCATTGCTAATTGCAGTCCAGTGTCATCTCTAGTGCCACCTATGCTTGCACCCGAAATGTCTTCCATTCCTGTGCCAGACACAGATGTCAGAATTCTCTTCAGACTGCAGTGGTTCATTCTGGTCCTGCCAATCTAACCCTGCTGTCTGTTTCTTAACAACATGGACTAGAAGCTCTGGCAGGAAGCCCTGTTTGAGCAGGCGCCTGTCAAAATCTTTCACTCTCCAGAAATGTGCAGTATGCATTAGCTGCCATGGAGAATGCCCTAAAGTGAAAAACTAATGGACAGCTAATGGTCATATGCTACATAAAACCTTAATGGTGCAGATTTGAATCAGACTGACATTATCTCATTTTTCAAGAGCTCATTTTGTCAATATCATGCAATTAGGGACCATGATATAAGTTATATATTTTTACTCCGCAAGAATGCATTACATTGAACAAAAGTTACTGTAAAGACATTTATAATGTTACAAAATATTTCTATTTCAAATAAATGCTGTTCTTTTGAACTTTCTATTCATCAATAAAAGTCACAAAAAAATGTTCTATCACGGTTTCTACAAAAATGAGCAGCATATTAGAATGATTTCTGACGGATCATGTGACACTGTAGACTGGAGGAATGATGCTGAAAATTCATCTTCGTAATCACATGAATAAATTACAATTTAAAATATATTTAAATAGAAAAACATTATTCTAAATTGTAATAAAATTTGACAATATTACTGTATAGTATTTGCAAGATGTTTATGATGTTAGCTGCTGTTGAAGTGAACTCCTCTAAAAAGAAATCTCTAAGCCCTATGGCCTGTTTTGACAGTCAAAGGCATTGAGAGAGCGATGGCTGTTGGACGGAGCGCCATCCAGTGGAGAGGACGAGGCACAGAAACAACTACAAGAGGATGAAGCCAAGACCAAACTACTGGAGCAGACCATCCTCAGGTTAAGACCAGTCATTCAGTCATTTTATACCTTCCTTAGTCCCAGAACATTGCTCATGTTCACTTACCTTTTTTCATTAACAGACTAGAACAGGAGATTGATGAGCTTGAGAGTGGCGTGGCTTTGAATAAAGGAGAAAATGTAAGCTATGAGCTTTGCTCAGTCTGATTTTTAAGTATATTGTGCATGTCTGTTTAGTTTAGTGAAGGTTTTAATGCCAATAATAATAATAATGAATTTCTGTCATATGTCTTCTCTACTAGTCACCTGATGGTCCAGTGAAGGGTGAGTGTGAGAATATGCTGTATATTTTAATATTTGAGTTCTCCATCATCTCTGTTTTCACAAGCTATATAAATATAACAAAAAAGGATTGACTTGTTATCAGTTTGTTTGCAGTTATGGTCTCTGTGTAATTTCACTGTTGTCATGTGAAAGAGCCAACGTTGGTATAAACAGTAGTGCAAGTTAAATGAGTCTCTTTCTCTGTCCCCAGCCGTTGAGAATGGCATACAGCAGACCAGCCCTAACGCAGATCAAAATAGCAAGAAACAGATCACAGGCATCGAGGCCAAACTGCAGTGCACCAACCCTGATGTAGCCATTGAGAATGCCAGCTCAGATCATCCCGTCACCATGGTGTTCATGGGCTACAAGAATGTAGAGGATGAGGCTGAGACCAAGAAGGCACTGGGCATAGAGGAGACAGTGAAAGCTGAATTTGTGGTCATTGAGGACGGCGAGAGCAAAGGCGGAAACGAAGGAGCCAAAGAGGACCAGGCCCCACCTAATGGCAGCGCCTCCAGTCCTGACAAATCTCAGGATGAGGCCAAGAAGGAGGAATCGAAAGAAGAAGGTAATTCAAAAGAAAAGCAGCCTTGCAAGTGCTGCACAGTCATGTGAGGGCGACCGCTCACCCTGAAGTTTAGACTCTGATGGAAACCTGACCCCGACCATAACACAACAATGAATAAGTATACCCCGTATACTTATAATCAACTTTTGTTGTCTAGTATGTATTTCCTTTTTTTTCTATTAATATTTTTCTATATTTCTGTCTTGACATTTATATATCTATATATACATATATTTTCATTATGTAATCTTATGAAGTCCAGTATTTTGCTTGTTGAAGAACAGAAAAATGAGGACCACATCAGACTCAACATGGTTAAAAGAACTTTTTTGTGGCCCTCATCCTTATTTTGTTTTAAGAAAAAATAAGATGAACATCTCAATATATATGAAATAGCTATTTATCTCCCGTATACATTAGTGTTTCTAAGATATTACTTTATAACAGAAGACATGGCTATATTGATATTACAATATTATGCTTTTAATATATATTTTGAGCCTTTTGTTTTGTTTATTTTATTTTATTTTTTTGTTGCCAAATCATCTCAGACCACTGTGAACACTGGTACATGGAGTGTCGTCTTTGTCCACAATCATACATTCTGCTTTACACCTCGTAGTAGGCCAATGTTTGTAAATATGATGCAATTATTTATGACTGTTCATGCTATGATAGTATACATGTAATCATGTTTTTATTCAAATAGGCTGCAGTGATTACCCTAGATCCCGGTCATAACCACAGCAGATATCTGTTTGAACAGTAAATCACTTTTTACAAGATACCCATTTTAAACCCTTTTAAATCTCTTTTCTACATGAATGATAACATTGTTAGATATAACTGTAATCAATATTATTTTTTGAAAATTTAGTAACATTGCAATGCCTCATATTACACGTAGCCCATATTATTAAAAAACATTCTTACATTATGCTAAATATATCTTTATATCATTTGAAGAAAAAAAAAGAAATGTGTGAAATTGAGGGGTTTTGGTGTTAAATGGGTTGCTGTAAGTTGGTATGCCCTCAATTAAACAAGAGTCCAATATCCATGTTTCAGTGTTCAGGCAGTTCATTCACAATGATGAATCATTCATTAGTGTTAGTTCAAGATAAACAGTCTGGGGTCTAAAACATGTTTCTCATTCTGAGATCACAGCTTTGTAAGTGTAGTTTTGCCATCTTTCTGATATTTCAATTTAATTAATTATTTCATTTTGTGTAAGACAGTATGTGTTGTGGATGTCAAATAATGTCATGAGTTATCGGTGCTTTATTGGTATGGCCAATGCCTGTTATGGTCCAAGTGTTTAAATTAGGAACAATGACAATAAACAAAAAATTTTGGTTTACAGTAATGCATTGGTAATTCTTTGGTAATTACATTTTTACTCACCTGCAGTCAACAAAGTCTGACACAGTTACAAATGGCAGTCATTTGGAAAATTAATTGTTTTCATTTCCCTAGTGACAAAATGTTTGCATTCTGCATGTTTGATGATGATATTGTCTATTCTAGAGAAAGAGTTTCTGTGAACTCATTTAGTTCAATTTAGCCATTACTGTAATTGTTTCAGGTGTAATAACTTCAAAATCGATATCAAATTTGATTCATGATTGCAGAGTAGTCAACAGACAGATATCCTGTCAAAAAAACGCATTTTAAAGGGACCCATGTGAGCCTCAAAAACCGTTCTAGTCTATGAAGGTTGCCATCTGCAGGCTGAAATCTAATTTGGTTACCTTTAAGCAGAAGTTTGTAGGCTAAAGTGATGCTACTCTCTACTACTGTCATGTTATATTCAGAACTGGTGTCAGGGGGAACAACCAGAACGTTGTCCTGGGCCCTGTGATGCGTGGGACCCATTGTGGTCCTCTACGCTACGGTATAGGCTACTGGCTTACTGGGCCTGAAGAAGGGGAGGCCCACCCATTAAACCTTTTCCCAGGCACATACATTTGAGTGACAATGCTGATTATATTAGCATTCCACAAAGATGGTAGATAAATCACTCAAAGATTTTGACCTGAATACATAGGTAGTAACAATATGATGATTTTAGGTAAATTAGGCTATCTTTCGTCATTCATCTCAATGACAAAATGGCATATGTTAAAGTGACAGCTCACCCAAAAATAACAATTCTATCATTTACTCATCCGGTGTTGTTCCAAATCAAGTGTTGTACACTTTCTAAGCTTTATTTCTTCTGTGAAAACGCAAAGGTGTTTTTTTTGTTGAGGGTTGCGCTGGATAAGCACTGATACGCTTCTCAGAATATCTCCTGTGTTACTCAGAAGGAACATTTTAATTTTGGGGGTGAAATCCCTGTAATTCACACTAATCCATATTGTAAAACAATTAAATGTGCTAGAAGTGGTTAATGCTGATCAATTAATTTGCTCAGTGTCTAGGTTTTCTAGAGTCATTTAAATTTTAGACTTAATAACAGCTGATTTATGCCTTTTCCACCCAAATCTCTATTTTCTTCCGATATCATTATAATCTTACTTAATTTAAATTTTACTTATTAGCAAATGAAATATGTTAGCAATGCGTCATGTGAAACTGTTTTTCTCTTTGACTGAACAGCCTCGTCCTTGCCGTTGCTGATAATGGGTTCAAGCACAGTTCACTCCTCCACTTCATTTCTCATGGTGGCAACCGGGAAAAGTTTTCGCTAACTTTTTTCGACCGCCTTTCCAGATTGACAGCCCTTCTATCCAATCCTGTTGTCGAAGAACTTTTGAGGTCCCTCCCACACTCGGCGCTCCAGGGTCGATTGACTAATCAGAAAGCGTCAATCCCCCCTCCGCCATTTTGTAAGGATATAAGAAATACTAGCAGGTCTACCTCCCGTCTACGACAACCTGTAGTTTTGTGTAGTGCCATGGACGGGTAAGTTGAAAATACCCTCATTCCAAGTGTGTTACCCCTTAAACACGTTTTTGTCTTTGGATATTTTATACATAGTTGTGACTTAATACGCTATGCACGTTTAAAGTGGGTTAAATGACATAAATTGAAGAGGAAATGGTGATTTTTGACTCGTCTCAGCCGCTCTTCATGTCTCCCGTGCCGGAAGAGACCAAAAGTTGGACCAAACTGACCAGCAACCTGTTGCAAGTCGTGAAGTTGAGGCAGTTTCACGAAACACAAGCGAACTAGAGCCACGGGATTTTTTTAACCGCACTCGCAAGCAAAAAGGATCAAACGAGGCTTGTAACGTGCAGAAGCGATAGAACTGCCAGTATTTCGCAAGCAACGTGTCTCCGTTTCCGCATTGTTGTTGGGTGGCTAGCTAATTACCTGCTAGCTTGCTAAACCGACGCCAGTTCAACTTTATTCTAGCTTTACTCGTTTGTATTGTCGATGCATGTTAAATACTTTTCAGTCATTACTAACGTTAAGTACGTTTGAGAAACGTACGAAAGTCCGATTACAGTAACCGTTACATAATGACGCGGAGAATGTCACCCGTGGTTCAGAAGTAATATTTTAAAAAGGTTTTGAGAAAAATAAAATGCTTGAGTAGTAACGTTTTATTTACGTGTAAGTATAATCAGAAAAAAATAAGTTATAAGTATGTACACGCTTGTGCTGATTATAAAAGGTACGTTATATTCGCAGGGGATATTTTGCCTAAAATGTAAATTGTCATGTTACTCACCACGTTTCAAACCTTCATGAACGTATTTCTTCATTAAAATAGAAACAGACCTGTCACTGGGCCTAACATCTCCTTTTGTATTCAGTGGCAGTTAGAAAAACGTACAGGTTTAAAACATTATGCGAAAAATGTTTTTTTGTCTTCTGCAGCCGTTTAGACACTGATCTGTATCCTCTGGGATCCAGTTACGTCACTGAAATAGAGTAAGTTTTGCATTTCTATAAATATGCACTGGTTGTACTGCATTGTCACCTAAATTGACCTAAACTGAAAAATTCAAGATATGTTTCCAAGAAAAGTGTGAAAACACTGATACCGTTGATTGGCAGAAAGAGTGGCTTAATAGGCCTGCTTTGTTTTACTGTTTTTCTTGTGTATCAGGTTGCCGCCTAGAAGGTGCAGCCTTAAAATGTTCTCTTGTTTTGTACAACAGCCGTCTGTTGTTTCTCCTGGGCCCATATTCTGTTTGTGAATATAAATCTAATATATAATATAAATCTACATTAGTACATGACAATTTTGTATCAAGTGCACCTATTGGTCTTAAGTCCTGTTCACACTGATGAAATCATTGAAGGATGGCAAGTCGCTGTATCAAACTCTGTGGCAGTGCTGTCTGCACTCACATTGCTAGTCGCTGCATTGTTGCTGATTATCAGCATAGAGTTGAACAGATATTAGTTTTCAGTGAGAGTTGCTGATTTTGTTAGTGATGCACAGTGATTTGGTATTTTTTTTTTAGTATGCGTGCGAAGTCAACAATGAAAATTCACTTTTTTTTTTTTTTTTTTTTAAATCTCAATTTATTAAAATCGTAAGTTACTTTTCCTACGAAATGACACTTCTCCAGTTATTTACTGCATTTAAACCTATTGTTTAACTGATGGGTAGAACCAAGTGTCCACCCTACTTTTTTTCAGAAGACCATTTCACTCAGATTTACGTCACAATACAGAAGAAAAAAAAAGTCCCTGCTTCTGATACATCACAACTTTAAATACTGCATAGCCCTTTATTTTGCTACATTGCCATCAGTTGTGGTTGAGCATCTACACTTGTGTATTTTCTGATTCTTTAACCTTTTTTTTTTTTTTGTAGCAGTGTCCATGATATAACAGTCGGCACAAAGGTATGTCATTTTATTTTTTCCTTCACATTTGTTCTTCATATTTGTTTGTTGCGGGTGTTCAGTAACAATACTAGTTTAGGTTGTATATCTGGTTTTAGAGGTTGTACGTTCCTCATTCTTTTTTTCTAAATTGCTGAGACAGAGGGAACTGCTCTAAATTGCTGAGCCTGAAATTCTTGTCCCATCTGCGTTTGATCCTGCAACTGTAATTATTCTAGTCAAAGGTCACCTGCTGTTTAAACAATCACTGTGATAAATGACCCAAAGGTGAAAGAAGTAGCCTGCACTAAAATCTTGTAATTGTTCTGTAGACAATTAATAAATTGTAACCTGGGGAATTTAGTTTCTACTTGTTATATTTTGCAACTAGCAATTTTGCTCCATACAGTTTGTTTACAATATTGCTTTTTTTTTCTCCCCACACTTATTTGCATGTGTTTGTGCATGGCGAGACTGCCTGCTGTTGTTTCCCCTGATGTCTTTCTCACATGCGAGGAGGAGTAGAGATGTAGTAGATTGAATCTCAGCCCTGTCGGAGTCTGAGCACTAATTACTGTGGCTGGAATGCTGTGGTTGTATTCCTGTCTCCCTGACCCCCTTATTCAACACACTGTGCTCTCACCCAGGAGGCTTGCACTTTGTCAATGAATGTAAACATGTTGGCACCTGCAAGTCTTGAGCTCCTAGAGACCAATGTAGGAGTCATGGTTCTCGGCTCCTTTTTTTACCCCCTGTCCTAATCGAGTGCTCAATCTGCAATGCCCCGCAGTTAAAAATAGAGGAAGGAAATGCTGGTGTTGGGTGGATGTCTCGCTCAAAACAATGGATGGTTCAACCAAAGAAGGCTTTCCTGTCATAACTGCTCTGTGCAAGTGATGTTGAAACCTGACTCCTGCAGGTTTTAGCTGGGAGGAATATAATGTCCTTTTTGTTTTGTTTTTGTTTTGTTTTTTTATTTTTATTTTTGTTGTTGTTGAGGAAATGCCATGCCACGTATCCAGTTGTTTTTTCCTTCAGTACAATATTATTGACCGTTTATGCTGTAGGCTGCTTATTGAGCCTTTGGGGCTGTGTTTAAGGTATTAATCCAGGGTGTGGTAAAGTGCCCTTGAGGCTGTTTGTAGTAGACTGGGGGGGGGGGGGGGGGGGGGGGGGGGGGGGGAATCATCCCGAGGACCAGGCGTTCAGCTTTGGTAACAATACTTTCCTTTTGGCTGGAACAGAACGCGCATTGTGGTAATAGTGTAAAGGCTTTGGCTTATCCAGCGCATGTGACCACTTCAGCAGAGACTTGCCATTTGAAGTGGTTTATTAAGAGAGTAATGCTGAATGATTTGCTCATTGCTCCATTGGCCAGCCAAGTGGCTCCAGCTTGGCCTTGAGTGAGAGACTTTGTTAGTGTTATGGCAGGACACAGCTGCCTCTGTTTGAGTTTTTTTCTTTGTTCTGCTTTTACCAGCAGTAAACTGTGTAGTGCTCTCTTGTGTGTAGATGCCTGGGCCAAGAGTTGTTGTTGTAGTTGTAACCATTAGGCAATGAAAATTGTTTGATTTTTGTCACTTTGGAAATGGATTCCAATTGCGACATCTTAATGATTGTGTAATCAGATGATGGTTGGGTGTAGGGATGCACTGATATGAAAATTTTGGCCGATACGATAACTGATAATTCTTTATTTTTTTGAGTTTATCACCGGTAAACTGAAGCGCTTTTAACTTAACCAAACGCGTTCTATATGAGATAAATCAGATACACATCAAATAAACGCAATATTACAACGTACAATTGCACAAAAGGCTGCAAACGAACAGCGCGCATCTGAAGTGTCTCTGAAGGAAATAATGCATTATTTATCGGCTTTAAGATATCGGCCAAATTTTCTTATCGGGCCGATACCGATAACAGAAAAAATTAGCATTTATCGGCCGATACCGATATGGTGGCTGATATATCGTGCATCCCTAGTTGGGTGGATGCTATTCTTTGTCACATGACTTTCTATAATTCTGTGTCCGATGATAATTTAACCCTTGCAGGCCTGTGCCTCTTTTTCTTTTTTCTTTTTTTTTGTTAAAAAAAATTATGGCAATGTCTCGTCTCATTTTTTTTTTTTTTTTTTTTTTTTACAATCATTGTCAGTAACGTGACCTTTTTTTTTTTCTAACACTACTGTAGATGGTTTACATCTTGGTATTGGTGTGTTTGGGTTCTTCTGTTTTGAGGTTTGAGTGTCCTATTAACCTTGTAAGTGCGTCCTGCTTAATAAACCACTTCCCTTGTCTTTTCAGAGGGGATCTGACGAACTCTTTTCCTCTTGCATATCTAACGGCCCTTATATAATGAGCTCTGGAGCAGGTAGGCATTTATGACTCTTTTTATCAAAAGTAGATCAAATTGATTTCAAACAAATGCTATTTGTTTGAACTTTGTTCATCAAAGAATCCTGAAAAAATGTATGAGTTTCCACAAAAATATTAAGCAGCACAACTGTTAACGTTAACAGTAATAACAAGAAATGTGTTCTTGAGCAGCGAATTGGTGTATTAGAATTTCTGAGGAATGTGACACTGAAGACTGGAATAATGGCCGCTGAAAATTCAGCATTGCCATCACAGGAATGTTGTTGCATAATTTAAACTATTACTGTTGGGGGGGGGGGGGGGGGGGGGGGTAAAAAATTCATACTGATCCCAGACATTTTAATATGTATTGACGTTCTTGAGAATGAAATGAAATTGAGACGGTCTCTTTCTGTCAGCAAATGGTAATGACAGCAAGAAGTTCAAAGGGGACATCAGAAGCCCAGGCATTCCTTCACGAGTCATTCATGTACGCAAACTGCCAAATGACATAAATGAAGCCGAAGTCATTTCTTTGGGACTTCCCTTTGGCAAAGTGACCAACCTTCTGATGCTGAAAGGAAAGAACCAGGTAAAAATCCCTGCTTCCTTTCATTTCCCACAAAATATGATTACCCTGCTTTGACGTACATGATTGTGCCTGGTCTTATTCTGTTATCTCCTCACAGGCCTTCCTGGAGATGAACACTGAGGAGTCAGCACAGACCATGGTCAGCTACTACTCCTCTGTCACACCTGTCATCCGCAACCACCCGATCTACATGCAGTATTCCAATCACAAGGAGCTAAAGACTGACAACTCACCCAACCAAGTTGTGAGTACAAATTACATCACATTAGGCATTTGATCAAGGGCAATTACTCAATATAAATGACTTTCACGACTGATAATGTGTACTTGTGCTCTGCCCCCTCAATTCCCATAGAGAGCACAGGCAGCACTGCAGGCGGTGAATGCGGTCCAGACGGGAAGCATGTCTTTGAGCACGGTTGATGGAGCAGGCATGGGGAGTCAGAGCCCAGTGCTGAGAGTCATTGTTGAAAACCTCTTCTATCCAGTTACTCTTGATGTCCTTCACCAGGTACTAACTGTCCTTCAAACTAAATTGAGGGGAAAATGCTCTCCAAAATGCTAGATTTATTTCCAGGCCTTTAAAACTATAATTATTATCATCATTATTAATATATTTTTAATCCCCTCTACTAAGATCTTCTCAAAGTTTGGCACAGTTTTGAAGATTATAACCTTTACCAAAAACAACCAGTTCCAAGCACTGGTCCAATACTCAGACGGAATGACTGCTCAGCATGCAAAACTGGTGAGTGGCACAGTGGATCAATATGTGAATGGATGAATGGGCTACTAAATCCCATCTGAACCCTGTAATCATTTGGCTTAACATTCAACAGTCTTTAGATGGACAGAACATCTACAATGCCTGCTGTACCCTTCGCATCAGTTTCTCTAAGCTCACCAGCTTGAATGTTAAGTACAACAACGATAAGAGCAGGGACTACACTCGCCCTGACTTGCCTACAGGAGACAGTCAACCCTCCCTCAATGCACAGACGATGGCTGCAGCTGCCTTGAGTAAAACTTGATTTACTACTTCATTGCTGTATTTAATAAGTGGCATGTTTAACATGCCTAAAATCACAAACTGCATTTTTCCTCTCTCAGCTGCTCCTGGTATCATCTCTGCATCACCATATGCTGGGGCTCATGGTTTTCCACCAACGTTTGCCATTCAGCAGGCAGCAGGTCAGTCACAACCCTTATAATAGTTCTCTCTGGATTGCAGTGGCACAGTTTCTCAGCATATCATGTCCCTCCCACAGGTCTGTCTCTGCAGGGTATGCCTGCTGGGGCTTTCGCGTCGCTCGGTGTTCCTGGTGCTGCGGCAGCCGCCGCTGCAGCGGCTGCTGCAGGACGCCTGAGTCTTTCAGGTTATACCGCTGGAGGAAACAGTGTCATGCTGGTCAGCAACCTTAACCCTGAGGTTAGTCCCTTTTTTTAAATTTGTTTAGATTCACTTACCTGTTAGTTTGTTAGCCTTTTGATTTTTTTGTTTTAGCAAGCCAGATGCGATTTTGGTTAGTAGAACTGTAAAAATAGTTGATTTAAAAAATAAATAAATAAAAAGTGTTGGTGGGAAATGAAATTAGATGGCATCTAGTGATAAACAAAATACTTATTTCTGTAGCTCTTCAAATCATGTACTGTGTGTTTATGACAGTGTGGAAGCTTATTTGCTATTATACAAACATGCATGTCAACCGTTTCTTAATATTTTGCCACCTTGGAATTAAAAGTTTCTATCTGCCATTTGTCAAGTTATTTGTATTCTGTGACAACTTATTTACATTATGTAGTGGGGTTTTTTTTTAGTTGTGTACATTTTGGGACTGATGTATGAAAGAGACTTGTTCCACATATCACTATATGAAATCCAAAAACTTTGAAGTTCAATATCTCGAAACTGCTCAGATTGCAGATAGAACCCTATAATTCCAAGGTGACGATTTGTTGACTCTTGTCTGAAGCCATCTAAAACATTTCGTTTCTAGTATTTCTTTAGAGCTATGAGTATGTTTAGTCTCTAACTTTTCTGTATTTCATTTGTTAATCTTCTCTCCTTTCTTTTTTTATTTCCTTAGTGTTCCTATAGTGAAATGCATTTAATTTAGCAAGTTCTGCTAAGTGGAACACTACATTTTTTCTTTGTGTATACTGACCTTGTTTTTTACTTCCTTTTTCTTGTTTCTCTCCCTCCCCATTCCCCTTCCCCCTTTTATTGTTTTAATACTTTGACCTGGAATCTTTTGCAAACTGACTACACCACTTTTGTTTTTTGTAATATTTTAAACTCCCTACCTACTCGATATGGTTCCCAATTCATGCCAATACTGGATTCATACACTGTTTTTCTGCTGTACAACCAACACACAACAACATCCCCAACCCACCACCACTACATTGTTGGATAATCCTCCTCCTTTACCTCTACCCTTCTCCCACCTTTTCATCATGAACAATATCACCCACCTTCATGATCCTACCACCGTTTTTTGCCATTCCTGTGGAACTGCCTCGCTGTGGACATGTTCAACCTCCACTGTCCTGCCTCCGATCTTTTCCTGTCCCTTCCTCCCTACGCTGCCTTCCTCTGCTGTCTTAAGAGCGTTACGCCCCAATGCCTCTTTATTCTTTTCGGTATGTTATCATTGGCATCTCCTTTTTTTATTACCCTTTTTGTTTCATATTTTAACTTCATCTAAGATGTGTATTTTGGTTTGTATATGTGAAATGTGGGGTTTTAGAGGAAATTGCGTATCAGCTGCAGCTTTTTGGGCTCCTTCATTTGGCAGATGCTAAATATCTATTGCCAACAGCTATATATCATGTTATATATCATGTTCATATTAGTTGCTTAGTTTGGAGACATAACAGCAAGTGGGCCAAGGATAAGTCCAGAGTCCAATTTTAAAGCCTTTTGTTGCAGCTTTTTGCCTATTGTAAATGCCATGCCTTCTCAAAAAAGCCATATTGAATATTGCATTTTATAATCTTAAAGCTGTATGTTTGATTCTTTTAATTTTTTTTTTGTTCGTCATCAGAGTTGAAGTACATATTTCCCCCAAGTCCAAAATATAGTATTAAAACCATTCAAGATTACTTTTGGAGTACATCTTTCCAAAACAGACAAATCTGTGTTTGTTTTAATAGAATTTTGTAAAGATAAAAAGCCAGGTCCTGTAGAGATGGGCCAAAATAGAAATGTAGTCTCTTACCAACAGTAATGTATGCCTTACTTAGCCATAAAATTACTTAATTGTCTAGATACTAAAGTGAAAAGTAGTCTTTGGTTGTAATAAGTCATTTGGTCATAAAGTAATCATGTCCTTATGTAGCTATCTTATCTTTTGGTAGGTGTGTATGGTGATGTCATGAGAGTGAAGATCCTATTCAACAAGAAAGAGAATGCTTTGGTGCAGATGTCTGATGGAACCCAAGCCCAGCTAGGTATTTATGCTCTTCATATTTTAACTATTAGTAACTTGAAGTTTTCAATGGAGCTTGATTCTGCAACGCTAACCTATCGTGGCCTTTTTAGCCATGAGCCACTTGAATGGGCAGAAGCTGTATGGGAAGGCTTTGCGGGTCACTCTTTCCAAACACACCACTGTGCAGCTGCCACGTGAAGGCCATGAGGATCAGGGGCTCACCAAGGACTACAGCAACTCTCCTCTTCACCGCTTCAAAAAGCCAGGCTCCAAGAACTACTCCAACATATTCCCCCCTTCCTCTACTCTCCATCTTTCCAATATACCGTGAGCCAACTAAATTTAGACCAATCTGTTTGGCAGTCTTTAGCAGTGTCTTATTTAACACCAATGTCTTCTCTTTGCAGACCTTCCGTCACTGAGGATCATCTCAGAGGCTTGTTTCTAAGTTCAGGAGCTGTGGTTAAGGCTTTTAAGTTTTTCCAGTAAGACATTCTACAAGTTTGAGTTCTACAGATGTAGTCATGGTGTTTCCTGGAAGTCTTACAATGTTGTTAATTTATTTTTATTTTTTTCAGGAAAGACCGAAAAATGGCTCTCATCCAGTTGGGCTCTGTGGAGGAAGCAATCGAGTCTCTGATCAAATTTCACAATCATGACCTGGGAGAGAACCATCACCTCAGAGTGTCTTTCTCCAAGTCCACCATCTGATGGAGGCTGGTTTATTTTAGAGGAGGTGAAAGGACTGTCACTTAAGACCAAACTTTTAAGCCTTCCACAATTTATATCACTGTGGACAAATGTTTTCCACAACACACACTTCATCATTCCTTTATTATATCTACATTCACATATATATGGCAATTTGTAATTCCACTTTGAACCAGTAGAACTGAACCCAATGAGACTTGGGTTTTAGTAGTACCTTTTCTCAGACGGTTTGTCTCATGATTTAGTTAATCATTGGCACACATCGGTTTTGGATCATAGATGCTGCATAGTTTACACTTGTGCCTCTGCGGAAAGCCGCACCCTTTCAGGTTGCACACGCAAAGCCTTGTTTTGTTTATTGAACCTATAATTAACTTTTTCAAAGCTATTCCCTATTTGCCTTTCCGAAAAAAAGCAGCTGTGTCTTACATGGTGCTTGGAGTATATATTCTTAATGGCCTTAGTAATGTCTTGATGTTTTTGGCTTCTTTGCAGAACCATTAACCTCAAACATACAAGAGGAAAAAAAAAACCTGCTTGGTGTTCCCAGATGCTCCCTGTGATTTGACTAGTGAAAGCGCAGATTGTTTTCTTGTGAAAGGCAGAAACTAGTTCAGAGATCTTTACAGGCTTTGGTTTTGTACCTGACTGTCACAGCTTATTTTGCATATAGTTATACTATACATGTGGTTCTACTGCTTATGTGCTGTTTGTAAGATTCTATAGTTTCGTTCCATATTAAGTCGCACACATATTTGTATACTGTATCATCTATTTGGGCATTGGCCTACTGCGCTCTTTGTGCCTAGACCATCGTATTCCCCATTTAATTGGGAGCGGGATTTCTTTTTTTTTTTCTTTTCCCTGTTGCTTAAGGGTTTCGTCGATTATGAAACCACTTGGATCCAAACCAGAGTTCGCCGCCTATGATTTTTACATAATTTTTGGTTATGTTGCGCGTGGCAAAGGAAGTCAAGTTCACAAGAGTTTTAATGAACTTGTAAACAGTTCGTTTTGACTTTCCAGAGCTCAAGTTTCTACTGGGTCTCTTTCTGTCACTTGCCTTTGTGTTAAAAGAATATTAGCATTACAGAGTCTTAATCTTCTGTGTGACATTTGTGTGAACCGAGACACCTGTGACAAGACTTCAGACTGTTTTTAGCACTTCTTTGTGTGTGGGGGGGGGGGGGGGGGGTTA